TCCGTATTTTTCTTCTTTTTTTTTTTTTCATCAAATCGCTACTTTTCGAACACTCTGCGTTTAAAAAAATGCGCGCAATAAACGTCTTTGCAATTTTTGTACAAATGTACGCGAAAGTTGCTCGAGTATTGAAAAAATGTTGAATCTTCCTTCGATCTCGATGATTTTTTTTAAATATCGCGTCGTTAAAGTTGTGAAAATTTATTACATCGTTTTAGATTAGATTAAATCGAGTTGAACGAGTTTTTTTAATTTTGATTTTGAAAGTGAGCTTAGAATTAATAGATCGATTTAATTTCCGTTTTTATATCGGATTTTGAAGAGAAAAATCATCGAAATTCGAGAGGATGATACGTAATCTTCACGCAAATAATTTATCGAATAATTTATATAACGTTTCGATCTCGCGCATAATATCCAGACGATCTAACGTTTCTGGTATATATAATGGAAAAAAGAAATTTCCAAAAATTTCACAAATAAATCGATCAATTTTTCCTTGATGATTAAATCGCCTCGAACACTTTCGTAAACAATGTATATAAAACCGTGCATTTTCACCTCGCTTTCGACACTTTATTAATCGTACCGTCACATCCGCGTTTCGAATTAACGAATCAATTAGTCGAAACAGTGAGTAACCGCGGAAAAGGACATCGGCAAACGAGGTGAAAGTTCTCTCTCGTTAAATATAGCAATTACCTAAACCGTCCTATGTTTAAACATTCCTCCTCGCCTGTTAATTAAGAGAGAGAGAGAGAGACGGCGGGCAAAAAGCATTTCCATTGAAACCGGGAATTAAGTGCAAATTTTACCGCGGGATTTATGGAAAAAAAAAGAGAAAAAAAGGAAAGAAAGGAGGCGTCGAGAGAAATGCGTGGAAGAAACGGTGATTTTTCTCCGCTTCTTCTTTCCTCGTTCTTTTTTCTCTCCTCCTCCTCCCTTCCCCCCACCTCCCTTTCTTTCCTCGAAAGAAGAGGCGCCGTGTACAACAACAGCCGTCGTGTGGCGACACGTCACATCCAACGGCGTCGTGATACATCGCAATCGTGAGAATCCGGCTCCCTTGTTTCTTGAGGCTTCTCTCGACACCAGCCGGAAGAACACACGAGCTTCCCACGCCTCCGGTAAACCGCTTTATAACGGATCTCGGTCTTGATTTCTCCGGCTACTAGTCAAATGCACTCGTTTCGAGCCGATCCCTCTCCTCCTCGCGAGGGAAAAATTCGTGTCACGAAAACCACCAAGAAGTGGTCGTGATTTCGAGTCGTGGAATTTCGCGAAATAGGTAGAAAAACGAGGCTAACCGAGCAGGGTGTAACGATACGTTTGCATGCACGGCGTTGTAACTGTGTTTCCTCCCGTATAAAAATATCGCTGGCACGGCAATTACTTCGTTGTGGAAGAGTTTCCTTCGCTCGTTACGATCCACATTTCGATTTCTTTTTAAATCCAACGCGCGGTTCTCCACGAGAAATCGTCGTTGAACGTTGCAATTCGACTCGGTTCTTCCTTTACATACCCAACCCTTTGCACGTGGACGAGAGAATCGACGGGGATATCTATCCACGGGAGGAACATGTGTTCCGGGGCAAGTCGAGCAAATAATAATTTGAAAATATGTCGCCCCATTCCGTTCCGTCTGTCGACGTTGTATTGTCGCGAACCGAGGTTGGCTGCATTAGTGTCGCCGAGGACTCGAAACCGCAAAACCACCGACCGGTCCCAAAACACCATTATAAATGCATTAACTCTCTCTCTCTCTCTCTCCCTCCCCTTTTTAACCGCGCGATTCTTTATTATATCGTCCTTATATAAATCGCCGTGTAATCGAAGAAACGAACGAGACGTTTCGTGAAATTTTCCATTGAACGTAACATCGAGTAAAATATTAATTTCCCCGATTTATTAATTATTATTGTTGTTGTTATGCGAGTATATAAGCTAAGAAAAATGTTATATTATCGAAATATAAGTCGCGAGTTTCCCAGACGACGATCATCGACGATCCAAAACCAAAACCCTTCCCTTTCCTTCGATCATTAAGCGGGCCTGGATGGATCGTTACACTTTTCTTAACACTCTCCCCTCCCCGTTTACCGTTCGCTTTATTCGCATCCAGTCAGGCTCTCTCGAGAAACGATAAATCAATGACTCTTGCTCTTTCCGCAGCCACTTCCTATCCTCTCCCTTCCTCGTTCACAACCGATACACAAAGAGCCGGCACAGCAATTAAGGGTGTTTTAGAGTGGCTGCACTCGAAAATGACCGGCCACCCCTTTGCGTGCACGCGGTGGGGGTATTAAAAAACATTACTCATCATATAATCGCACGAGTGGTTTTCATTGCAACTTGTCGTCTCCACCCTTCTCCCCTCTCTATTTCTCTCTCTCTCTAGTTTCGTTCTCTCCTTCTGGAAAAATGAGAAATGATCGAGGAGGAGAGGGCCCTGTTTAAAATTCATGAACGATTTTACTGCTCTCTCTCTCTCTCCCCTCAAAAGGGACATATCGAGAGAGAGAATGCGTGGCCCACATTTCGAACGATCTGCGCGCGTGTGTGTGTGTGTGTGTGTGTGTGCGGGATATAAAAGTCAGGGAGACAGGGATGGCGAGGAGAGAGAGAGAGAGAGGGAGAGGTGTACAGCAACCCCACGAAATATATATTAATTGTCGAATTTTCCGTGCGAGTTGCATATCCGTTGGAGCCCCTTTGTCCCTTGCCAGCCACGGATCTCCTGATTATTAATTACCCTGACAACGAACTTTCTCATCCCCCTTTCCTCCTCCTCCCTCGTTTCGAAGGTTTTGTTTTTTTTTTTTTATTCCGTTCTTTTTTTTCCATTATTTAATTTTCATCCAGTACGGCCGCCAGGGTTTTCATGGAAAACGAACGTCCTCTCCCCCTCGACTCGACAAGGGGGGGCTCGTTAATTATCGCCCCGAATTCCGAGCGAATCGTCGGCTTTTAATTGAGCGGATAGCCGGCCCCGGCTGATTTATCATTGTGGATAATCGTGGACGTTTGACGTTGGCCCCTCTACTAGGCATAGAAATTTTATACAATTCCGCTCTTGTTGTTTCGTGCATGCAGATTTTTCTCTCCTTTCTTTCTAATTAACTTACGGGTGGATAAGTGTCGCGCGTGGAGATCGATCGATCGATCGTTACTCGAGCGCCGGATCCATGTTGAACGTGGAGATGGTATTATTACAAACGTTATCAATTATTAACTTGGGAGACTTGTTGTGATATTAGGCAAGAATTGTTCGACATTGCATTTGGCCGATCTTTAAAATCGATTGTTCGAATATTTATTTAAATCGTTATATTTATATTACGCGAGTCGTGCTAATAATTTCGCAAACGTTCATCTTCGTTCCCGTTTATTAAAAACGCGTAAGAAATCGAAATAAAAGTGTAACATTACAGTTTAATAACAAATACGCTGCAACTGAAACAAAATACTCCGCTCTTAAAATAATTATCCAACCGAGTTGCGTAATCGAATTGAACCGTTGTCGATTTGCGCTCGATCCAAATAAAAGTGGTGTTCGTATCGTATCGATGGAGAACGAGAGATAGAAATGAATCGATTCGTCGGGGAAAAAGAAAGCAGGCAATCAGGATCTTATTATTCCGTATGAAAATTGATGTCTGAGGGATCCGAGGTAGAAGTTTCCATAATAATTGCGGCGTGGAAAAGCTTGGCACGAAATCGCACGCTTTTTCTCCCCCTCCCTCCGCAGTCGGACAAACATTTCCTTATCGGTGATTGGGATCGGACGAATGCCACTACCCTTTTATTTTACAAATGATCGCAATTTTCCTCCGGTCATTGTCGGAACTTGCGCGTATAAAAGAAATCCAAGCTATATAATATACCCGTTATCAAATCTTACTTATCGAGACAGGATTGTTTCTCGTATGAAATTTCGAGATATTAATATAATCGAAGTATTATTGTTACTCCAAACTGTACTGATAAATACGCTTTTGCAAGTCGATCCCTTCAAAATTCATCCTAACTGTTAATTATTGGTCAAGTAAAACACTATATATCATTTCCTTATCGATCATTTTCGAGATAGTTGGTCACTGCTGGTCACTCATACTCATTGGTGGGAATTTTGTTAGTCCAAATTGTACGGATAAATACTCGCTTTTGCAAGTCGATCCCTTCAAAATTCGTACATTTCCTTTTTCGAGATAGTTCGAGTCATCGTGGTTCGTATTTCTATACTCATACTCTTGCTGAGAATTTTGGAAAGATTGCAGTAGTCGGCATTAGGGAGTCACGCGGGAGTGGCATGATACGCGATGATTAGGCGGCGAAACTCCACGGGCTATTTGTTAGTATAATAAGCCCGGCAACAGTGTGGCCAACGTAACCGCTCGGCGGCACGCCACCCCGTTTTAGCGTAATTGTCCCAGATCTACATACGCGAACAGAGATTGGGAGGCGATCGAAGAACAGGGGTGGATTCGAAGAAATCGTAAAAAAAAAAAAGCAAGGAGAAATTTTTACTCGAAAGGGTAGACGGAATGGGAACAATTTTTTCTTTCACCAAGGATCCAAATAATTTAAATTCGACGGAGAGAGGGAGAGGTCAATATAACTTTTGAAATTGTACCCTTCTCAAGTTTTAACTAATTATATCGGTAAAAAATAAAAGTTTCCTTAATTAACAAACTTCCACGCCCACCCGAAAGTTTCCTTGCAAATTCTTACGATCTTTCCATCTTTATAAATTATCTGCATAAAAAAATATTTCGACTCGTCTCCCGAAGGAATAGCAAAGTCTTAAATCGCACGTTTTAAAATCGAATTCCTTCGAAATAAAAATAATTCTCGATCTTACTTTCCTCTCCTCTTTCAAATAGCACAGATCGCAATTCGAATCACAATTTGATCAGGAGATCTTCTATAAAAAAAAAAAAAAAGAGAGAAGAAAATGGCGTACGAAAAACTAACCCCTCCTCTGTTTCTGTATTTCGCAGAACGAAGTGGAAGAGGCAAACGATCGTGGGCTTCGAGATAATGGCGGAGAACAATTTCGCGGTGGCGGCGTTCCAGCAGCTGTACGGAAGCGGGGCGGCGGCCGCGGTCCCCGCGCATCCCGCCGCGGGACGATACTGGCCCTACCCGAGCGCGCACGCGTTGCCCGCGAACGGCCTCTTCTACCAGCAAGCGTCCGCTGCCGCCGTCACGCTGCAGAAGCCCCTTCCGTACAGGCTCTACCCGCCGACCATGATCCTGGCCGGGCCCAGCAACCCCCTCGGATCGTTGACGGCGAGCTCGAGCCTGTCCAACCTGAGCAACTACTACAGGGACAGCCCCCCCGAGATGGGCGAGGGGAGGGAGAGGGAGGGAAGGCAGCAGCAGCAGAGGGACAGAAGCAAGAGTCCGCCGCCCGTTTTGGGGGACAGGTCGCCGATGATGAAGGAGGAGAGGCTGTACGCGGCTGCCACGATGGCGGTGCAGCAGGCAGGGGCGAGCGGCGCGAGCCTTGGAACGCTCACGGCCAGCTCCAGCCTGTCCAACCTGAGCAACTATTACAGGGACAGTCCGGAGGACGGGCGGGAGGGGATGAGCAGGGGGTCGAGGCAGAGGGAGAGGAGCAAGAGCCCTGGCGGGCTGAGGGAGAGGTCGCCGATGTGCAAGGAGGACGCGAGGCTGTATCCACCGGCGATGCTCCAGGCTGGGCCCAGCAACGCCATAGCCTCGTTGACGACCGGGTCGGGGATGCAGGGTGGTTTGGGCGGTTATTACAGGGACAGTCCGGACATTATGGAGGGAAGGGAGAGGGAACATTTGAGCAGGGCGGCGTTGAGGCAGAGGAGCGCGAGCCGGTCCCCGAAGAGGGAGGACAGCCCTCAGAGCATAAGGGCGGACAGTGACGACGAGAGTATACACGATATCTAGGGTACGGGTGGCGACGAGGAGGGTGGAAAGTAATGGCTGTTGTTCCGTTGTTGTTTGTTGTTGTTGTTGTTGTTGTCGTTTGCATCGACGAGATCGACGAGGAGAGGTAAAACGAGAACATCGAGGATGGAAGGAGATCCTTTCTTTTTTTTTCCTCTTCTCTTTCCTTTCTTTTCTTTCTTTTTCATCGTGGAAAGTTGTGCGTGCGCGCGCGTGTGTGATATCTCGAAAAAAAAAAATGTTCGAGTCTTTCTATTATGTTGTTAGAGGCAGCCAACCGACGAGACGAAGTCTTTTCGAAGAAGAAGACACGCGGTGATTTTGTAGCAATTACTCCGATCTAAACTGACCCGACTACTATCTTGCGTAACCGCCAACGAATGAATGCAATGGAGAGAGAGAGAGAGAGAGAGAGAGAGAGAAGGAGGGAGGAGAGAAGAAACAAAAAATTATTCTCGTCGTCGATGTTGAAATAAAAAGCTTCGCGTGACGAAAGAA